TGCCCAAGCACGAAGTTTTTTAAAATAATAATTAAATAAATATTTTTTACTAGTATTAATAAAAGGGGTTTTTAGGTTAGGTAATTATTAATTATTTTTATTAATATTTTTAATATAGCTCTCGGGCCCCTTAAAAATTTTTTAAGCTTTAATTTTTTTTTATTAAAAAAATACAGGCGGCGTTAAGTAGTTTATATTATTAATAAGTTTTACTATAAATATATTATTAAGTAACCTTAGTAATTAAGCATGGTAATTACCTTATTACTATATTTAATTAAATTTTATAATATTAAAAAAGCTTATTAATTAAATAATTAAAAATATATTATTAAATATAATAATACTAGCACTAGAAATTACCTGGCTAATAAGGCTAGGTAATTAAAAAAAAATATATAAAAAAAAACTAAATATAAAATTATTTAAAGGTTTTTTATTAAGGCCTTTAAGCGCTTTATATAGCTTTTATTTAAGGTAGTAAGGCCTAAGTATTATTTTTTAAGGCTACTAATATCCCTAGGCCTTGGCATTGCCACGGCCGATAAAGTGGCCTAAGGCATTGACACCAGCGATGAAACCACATTAGTATATATATTTTTTTTAAAGCTAAAAGTAATATAGCCTAGCTAAACACTTATTTAGCTTTTTAGCTTTTTATTAAAACTATAAATATATTAAAGTATAACAAGACTATATTTAGGTACCTATTTTTAATAATAAGTAATATAAATATAATAGTACAAAAAAATAAGATTAGCAAAGTTTAAAAAGTCTTAATAAGCTTGCTTTTTAAATACCAGGCCTTTAAAAAGCTATAATAAAAATAGTAATATATAAAAGCATGGTAAGCTTAACCTTTTTTTTTATTTACTAGTAATTACTAATAGTACTTACTATTTATATATTTTAATAATAATAGACTTACTAGCTTTTTAATTAACTATCTTATAATATTACCTTACCCTGCTATAACTAACCTTATTACTAAGCTATTTATACTTTTTTATACTATTAAATAATAGCTATATATTAATAAGGCTAAACTATATAATTTTATACTATATAAATATTATTGCTATATTTTATAGTTACAGGATACTATTAAAATAGTTTATTTATTTTTTATAAATTAAAATTAGGGATATTTACTAACTAAATATAGATTTATAAGATAATTTACTACTTTAAACTTTATTTATTATTAAGTCCAGAATTTTACTATAATTATATTTACTTAAATCTTTATAAACATAAATTTTTTTTAGGAAATATTAAGCTAATTAATATATTTACTATTTTTTAGCTTTTTAACATGGTAGCTTATTTATAACACGTGTTATTTATAAATACTTAATTTTAGAAAATATTTAGCTAAGAACTGCACTTTTATAATTTAATTTTTAACTTTTATAAACTTAATTTTAATAAATTTTAAATTATATTTTTTTCCCTACTACTTAAGTATATTTACACCTTTTTAATTTACTTTAAATAACTAGACTTTTACTATAGGAATTAGCATTTAGCTAAAAATTATAAACTTTAATTAAAAATTATAAAGTTATACTAGTTCCCTATTAATAATTTTTTATTAATATAATTTTAAAGTATAATTATTATATATTTATAATAAATTATTATTATGTATTTAGCTAATATTTAGTTAATATTTAGCTAATATATAAGCTGCATGTAAAAATAGTTAATAAAAGCCTTAATAATTAAAAATAGTGTTTTAATACTATTATATAGCTTAAATAGCCTTAAATTAGTACCTTAGCTACTAAAAAATACTACTTTTTTTTATAGTTAAGATTAATATTAATACTATTTAATAAGTTACTAGATTTATATATGCTATAATTAAAATTATTACTAATTATATACTAAATACCTAAGTTATATAAAATACTTATTAATTTATTATAGCTAGGCTTAAATTTTAATATTATTTAAAACTTTAATTTAATAGCTAATAACCCTAGTAATATTTTAGGGACTAATAATATACTAGGGCTAATAATATAGGTATATAAAAAATATTAAAATTAAAGCTAATAATTTCTTAAAATAAGTAATATTATTAGTTTTTTAATAAGAATTTTAAAGTATAACTTAAGTTCCCCGCCCGTGTTTATACTAGCTATTTATATTAAATATTTAGGAATACTACCCGCTGGGCACCTAAAGGTTAAATAATTAATTTTAGTAACTTTTATAACTTAAGCTACTAATATTAATAAGCTATAAATATATATATAGCTTATATAACCTTTAAAGCTATTTATAATATATTAACTAAATAAATAAGTTTATATTCACGCCCGCCCACGGGCGCCCTATTACCTTAATATTATTATAACTTATATAATATTTATAAATATAAAAGCTTTTAATTAATAAATTAATTATAAATTAAATTAAAGTATTATTTACTATTAAAAGTTATATTTTTTTTATAATAAACCTTATAATAAATATGCTTAAATATAGATTCTTGCTACCTACTTTAGTAAAATAAAAAATAACTTAAAATAAAGCCTTTATATTAATTAGCTAGTAAAGCCACCGCTATTTATAGGTTTTTATAAATTAATTTAAGTAAGTTTATTATATTTTATATTATTATTTTTAGCGTGAATAAAAATTAGGCGTTAAATAAAAAGCCTATAATTAATTAAATAAATATAGTATATAAGTATTATAACTATAGTATTAATAATTTTATAAAGCCTATGCTATTATTAATATACTTAAATAAATAATAATTATTAATATATAAGGTAATAGTACCATAAGCTTTAATAGCTAGCTAATACTTAAAGGCTACTTTTAATAATTAAACTAAAATTTAATAGGTAAGCTAAAATTTAATAGCCAGCTAATACTTAAAGGCCATTTTTAATAATTAAGTAAAAATTTAATAAGTAAACTAAAATTTAATAAGTAAGCTAAAATTTAATAGCTAGCTAATACTTAAAGGCTACTTTTAATAATTAAGTAAAAATTTAATAAGTAAGCTAAAATTTNAATTTAATAAGTAAGCTAAAATTTAATAGCTAGCTAATACTTAAAGGCTATTTTTAATAATTAAGTAAAAATTTAATAAGTAAGCTAAAATTTAACAGCTAGCTAATACTTAAAAGCTACTTTTAATAATTAAATAAAAATTTAATATTTTATTAAGCTAATATTACCTAATTATTTTAATATTAATTATAGGTAATACTGCCTAATACTTTTAATATTTACTTTAATTAATATTATATACTACTTATAATATTTTACTTAGCTAATATTAATTATTTTTATTTAGTATTTTATTTAAATAATATTACCTAGTTAAGTTAATACTATACCTAGCTAATATTACTTACTAACTTAATATTATTTTTTATTAATATTATTTAGTTATATTAAATATTATAACTAATTAATATTACCTTGTGTTTTAATATTAGTTAATATTAAATATTATATACCTATTTTAATATTACTTTAATTTAACTATAAGATATGTCTAATCTTTTATTAATATCAGGCTAATAATAACCTATTTAATCCCTGTTAAATTGCTGTTGGTCGGGACCCCCCGGAACCGGCATGGCTCCCAAATCTAATTTCCTACTTGGTATTGTCCGCGCCATGCTGCGGACGATACTGGATGATGATGGCTCTGAGGAGAACGCATTACGAACTATGAGAATATGAACTTGGTAACGATAATCATTAATCTCCATCCGATTCTGTGCTTTCTCGAAAGGTTCCGGTTACTCATTGACATAGCGAGCTGGCTCTCTCTCTCGTGGGCGTTCAACTTTGTTTTTACGTTGGCTCCGAAATGTATTTCATCATCGAATAAACAGATGTTAATGTTGTTCTAAAGCCGCTGGAGCTTGACCGTGTCAATCATGTTTTTATTGAAGGCACAGATAGGATTATTTAATTTGGAGTCCTATTCCTGTTGGGCTGTCCTGACCAGTGAGTTCCGCACTCAGCAAATACACAGGCAGGGCTTGCCTCAATGTGCCCTAACCTCCCTCCGCTTCAAAGCAAGCCAGAGAAAATTGTCCCCCAGCTGGAAAGACTCCTCTCACATCCAGCTTCCATAGCACGGACCCTTGCTTGGTGAGACTGTCGATGCAAGTTCGCGCCGTGATGCCCTGGCTGAATTCAATCATGCTCACCGACGCAGGGGCACACGAGCGCCAGGCAGAAAGATACCATGCAAAGTGTGAAGGGGTATCCAGACGTTGGTGTTTCACCTCTTGCCTCATGCATGCATGCATGTCTCACCACCTTACGCAGCCGGCAGTTGTTCGTCCGCAGATTAGGTACGATGACATGGTACTCCGGCTAACGCGGGCTGTTCGGCCCCATGCACATGCACCGCATGCATAGGAGCCTTCTCCAGACAGGATAATGTTGCGGCACCAAGGCGTCCAGATCGGAACCAGGGGCCAGGGGCCAGGGAGTATTTACAGGTGCCTGCCTGGTGGGCCACCTCCGGACTGGGGCCTGGGGAAGTATTCCGTACGGCCGGGGCGGAATAGCGATACCTAGGCAACACAGTACGAGTCATTTGGCGATCAAGCGAAGCCAGGCCAGGCTGCTTCGCAGGACCCTGCAGGGGTACCTAGTGAGCCAATCGGTGGACTGCTCGGCATTTGGGGGGTGATGATGGTGCGTTAGCGGGGTTGGCGGTTCTTTGTTGCTTTATTTAGCGCCGACACGGTTTTGTTTCCAACTTTCGAGTCTCCATGGGCGTGTCAATCTATGTCTTCTTTTGGGGACGGCTGGGGCTCGCAGGATGCAGGGAGGATCGAGTCTCCAGCCCCTGGGATGATGCTCTTTCCGAAGTAGGGCTTATTTGGGAAGATCCTATGGGGCGCTTAGGTTTTGCAACGATAGCGTTTGCTTTGGCGTTAGAGATGATATATTACCTGTGGAAGTCCGGGCTGGGTTACCTGGTGATCACTGTTAAACCTCATAGCACCATGGCCTCCCTCTTTCTCATTGCATCCCTTTGCCTGGTCTCCCGCTCTCTGGCAAGCATAGCCGGCAACAACATTTCCACCGCAATCAATAGCGACGACTTCTCAGGATGCCTCACCTACGATCACGACATGGTTTCATCAAACACCCTCTCGCTCGCAGCCAGTGATCTCAATTCGGGCTCCGCACCGTTCACATGGACAATGGGCATCCGGCTGGACACAGATCCAGCCCCCGACGACGACTCGGACTCCAACACGGACAACATGATCCTCCTTGCGCGGGACTTCTACTTCGGATACGCCCCCGCTGCGTCCTCCTCGGCATCCATATCTTCCTGCAACATTATCTTCCTGGATATCTCCGGCACTGCTGTCCTATACCCCAATCTCTCGACGACGGCAGTTGACTGGACGCAGGAGCTCCCGGACGACTGCGCGCGAGGTATAAAGATGCAGATTGATACTGCTGCCAGGCAGGCCTATAGGAGTGGTCAGGATGCGGCGACGTTCTGTGAAACGTGGAGGTTTGACTACAATGACGAGCTGCTGGGGATATGCCTCAATGCGGGCCTGGGGGGTAATGTGATGAAGGGTATGTTCATCCATCAAGCCTAAACGGCTGGATGACTTTCTATTAGCATGGTCGTCAGGCCGCCTTTGTCGGGATATTTGCTAACTCCGTCTCTGCAGCCATCACCATCAACGCGTCCAGCCCTGAAAACTGTACCGCGGCCTCGGGACTCGACTACAATGTCCGCCCTGTATACTCAAGGGAACTAAAGTACCAAAGAGATAGAATTGAATCGAAGCCTATGATCCAGGGCACCACGCCGATTGTTACTGTCCTGTTCCCGCCGGCGGACTCGAATGTCACGGAGCCCGAGACGCACTTTCTCAATTTGAGGCCGCAGACGCGCCTGCTTCGGCTTGTTGACTACTCGCGTGCACAGCGGCCCCATTCGTCGTCCTTGTGCTTTGTTATGTTGAGCTGGGTGGTGAGCGTTGTATTTTCTGTGCTGGAGTGCGCGCGGTTCTAAGTACCAGGCCTATGGTAGGTAGTAGAGTTATGCGACCTTTCTCATTATTTCTTTGGTTATCTTTGGCAACTGAACGGCATTCCCTGATGTGATATGTTGCATTTTCTTCGCTGCAAGATTCGACTGTTCCCAACGTAGTTTGCGATCGGTTGGATGCTAATTCGTGGTTCTGCTTTTGTTTGATAGAATACCTCGTTGTTCAGACACAATCTATCAACTAGTACGATTTTAGAAAATACATTACCGTCCAATAGAAGTTGGAGTATGAAGTCCAATGGACATTTAGTTGGGGGGTCGTCCAGGATGGTGCGAGAGTATGCTTACATGCGGATGCGAAGGTACCTAGGGATCTATCTCACTCATCGTGGCGAAATATTCATTGCACTAATCAAGCAGTCAAACACTTGCCGTAGCTAACAAGAACAATAGTGGCATTTCGACGGAACACGGGAAGGAATAGATTGGGAAAGAAAGTACAGCCAGTGACTTTAAAGCGTTGCCTGTCAAACGGAGCACCCAGAGCGTTTCCTAGGGACATGGGAAGAACCTCCTACCACTCTTCAAAGCTTTTGTACGTCTTCACACGCGCCGCAAACTTGGCTACGCCAGGGGCGGTGCTGCTGGCAAGAGAAGGATACTTCATCTGACGGTTGCCCAGGTCAAAGCATGGCCCGGCAGAAGCCTCCTCGCAAAGCGGCCAAGTCCTCCCAGTCTCCATGTCACAGAACGTCTTCTCAGGGACATCCACAAAGTCCGGGCCCAGGGACATCGGGTGCTCGCAGAGTTCCCGTGCGCTATGGCTCTGCCTGCTCACAATCAAGAGATCCGGGTTATTGTTCTTGAGACCGCTGACACCGACCGCAGTCACGTTCCGGCGCACCCATTCCCGCGCGTGCTCTCTCTTCCCCTTACCATCCGGGTAAGCGTTCGTGTCCCGGTCGTTCTCCTGGTCCGGGTCCTTCATCGCCCCGGTCATGGTGTACTCCGGAGGGGGTCTGAAAAAGGTCACCAGATCGTCCGGCCGGATCTCCGGGTGGAAGGTCATCCGCCTGGTATTGCGGCACAGCCGCTCCGGCTTATCCTTGTACTGCTGCAAGAGGGCATCGTCCGTCGCGAACGAAGGCAGGTGGATCGTCAACCCCTTCGCCTTGATGCCATTGCTGTGGTCTGCGTCGAACCAGGCGCACCGGATCGGCACGTTCGAGCTCCCGTACGACCGCTTGCTGTGGTACCACTGGGCGTCGCAGGTGTACGCCATGTCGCCGGTCCACGCCCACTGGTGCGAGTTGCCGCTCACGATGATGGCCGTGATGCACAGCGCGTCGTTCTCGTGCATCGCCATGAGCAGGTAGTCGGGGCTTGCTTGCTTCCCGCCGTTCTGGGTCGGGCTGATGCTGAATGTCTTGGTGCCGTCTTCGTTGATGTGCCCGTCTGCGTCGCCTTTGTACTGGCCGATTCGGTCGCCGTTCTCGTCGAAGACGGCGAGGTGTGGGATGCTTCCGCCGGCGTTGGGGGCTGAGCCGGTAAGCACGGTGACGCCGATGACTTTGTCGGTGTCGACATCTTGGCTTTTGAGGACGTCGAAGAAGGAGTAGCCTGATACTGCGAGGCCGGCGAGGTTGATTAGGGCGTTCATCGTGGGTGCGAGGTGAGAGGTTTGGATAGATCTGGTAAGGCAAGTTGCAGAGGAAAGAGATGTTGATGTTTTAGGTCAGTCACTACGATGTTGAGTGTTAACCAGCTTATATATCAGTTTCCATGATTGTTGCCTACGGACAATGATAGATTCAGCTCATGAACGGGTGTTGAGTCTACCTTGCTACATCAAAATATCGACAATCGTAATTGTGTTTGATTCAGTCAGGTACGCTGCGACATGATGTTGTACCGTATGGAGACGGCGGATGACCCATGATCTTGCTGCCTAACCCTTCATTCTAATTCCCATCCCGCAGAGGGGCTGATGGGGTAAAAGCGATGGTCCAACTGAGTATGCGATAGCTCTACACTGAGACATGTTGTGCATATGGCCCCAGGCCCGGTGCATCGCCCCTGCATTGGTTCATATTGTTTGAATTATCTGATGTCTTACCTTCAAACCCAACAATCCGCCCCTGCATGAACCACTGCCGGGATCACACGATAGACCAGATCCAGAGTAATACCATAGCCCTAGAGTCTTTGCCCCAGACCCGCACGGGTCCACGGGCCACCCCGAGCCGGCCCCACCAGTCCCAAGAAAGGTAAAACCTTGGGGAACCTTGGAACCAATCAAGCTGAAAGGCTCCTGGATGGTTCCTTGTGCGAGTTAGGTAGGTAAAGGCTGGCGAAATTAGGCTGATCTCATGACTCGCTTTCGTTTCTGCCTTTTATGCTTCAGAGCCTTGCCGGCCATTACGACATGCTTAAGCGGTTTCATCCTGTACTGTTGGGGTTCTGGCTCATTTGATAGGTCGAGAGTCTCTATTGGAAAGGTGGCCCTTGTATGGACCTAGCCGTTGGTCTCCGTTCCATACCTATCTGCCTATTTGGCTGGGTGAGTCGCCCATACGGTCCATGCCAGCAACCGGTGTTGGAGGTCCGTAAATGATTTTGGAAGGGCGTTGTTTGACGCCTCTGCACCCCTCAGTAACATACTCGCTCTGGCCTGATTAGTCACCTGCAACCCCATTCTCCTTCCTCTGTTGACGCGCTCTTTGTTCCTCGCCGCTCCCGCAGCCAACCCTTGGAATGCAATCAACACCCAACCTTATCATCAAAATGTCAGATCACGCATTCCTTTTACGCCTTCCCCACAACGTCCGGTACCGGATCTACGTTGAGCTAGGAATTATCGTCCAAGACGGTGTTGTTGATCTTAGTCGCGTTCCACCGCACGGGGAATGGTCATGCCGCGAGCAGAAGATCATCAATGACCCCTCATGGCATTACCGGCATTCTTTTGCAAACCAGCTCTTCTATGTTTCCCGTGGTGTTTCCGAAGACGCGCGGAGTTTTTTCTATTCGGAAAATGTATTTGGCTTTTTCCGTCACATTGGTTGGGGGCTGCAGGCTATTCGGGGGTTTGGACCGCTGGTATGGAGATCTTTCAGATGCGTCTCGTTTGCACTTGACAAGTCCTGTCACTGGGAAGGGTATGAGAACAGATCATATCACTACGACGATGAATTCCTGAGCCGGTGTCGCGATGTTGAGGAAGTTTTACCGGACTGGATTTACATATGCGAGCAGCTGGCGGCTCATAACACACATAACGACAGGCTGGATCTTCGTTTTATGTGCGATGCTTTCACAGCTGAAACTGCGGCGGCGTTTTTAAGTCCTTTGAAGCTTCTGCCCCGGTTGAAGAAACTTGCTATAAAGATGGGGCCCTTCTTCAATCCAGACACGCATCAGATGTCTGCCGCTATGATACGGGAGAAGACGAAGCCTCGAGACTGCCCGAAACCGTTCCCCTTCTTTCACCTCCCAATTGAGCTTCAATATCGCATACTGGAACATACCGACCTCGTCTTCGATCTTGCACACATCTACTCACCCGACCAACATTGCTTTCGCCCGCAATACTCGCAGTATGGGAGAAGCCGCACCTTTTGTCCAGATCGACGCGAGGAATTCTGCATGGAACCCGGTGTCCTTCCCTGTTTGCGTACCCCACACATGCTCTTCCTGGTGAGCAACTCCATGCGCCGGTTGGCGATGGACGTCTACTACTCTCGAAACATATTCCACGTGGAGTGTGAGACAAAGACGTCCCCGCCAGCTGCGGCATGGAGCGCGCAAAAGTCCGCATTTCTCCGCTGCTTTGCACCGCGTTCCTTTCAATACCTTCGGCATATTCGGTGGCGGATGCCTTCAACGCGGACCTGGACCGCGTTTCAGCCTGGGAATCGGGAATCAGAGGACTGGGTGATATCGCTTTACCTGATCTCCCTGGCCGTTCCTGCGGGTAGTTTGACGATGGAAATGATGATCCCTCCCTACTCCAGCCCAGTTACCACCCCTTTGACGCAATATCTTGTCGATTGCGACGATGAGTACTTCCGACGGCTTATTTCATATATGGATTGTTTGAAGGGCCACTTGAGGGATTTGTTCTTGCACATTGAATACTCTCCAAGCGGGGAATGGGATCAGATTCGCTTGGACAAGGAACGAGCTCTGGAGCGAATTATAATGGGGAGCGGTTATGACAGCCTTGCGCGTGGGAAGAATCCACACTTTCGATGGCCCCGTCACCGCTGATTCTGCGATCAGACGCAATCATGGTTGGGGATAGGTACCAAGATTATCAGTACGGCTGTGCGGCCGAACGTTATGCACGTACCTGATTGTTGAAGCAAATATTTTCTTCGTATACTGTATCTCGGCCGGACCTTCCGGACATAGACTGCTTGTCTTATCTAATTACTGGTCTCGAAAGCTTTCTGCCTATTCTATTTTCATACATTACAGATAGTGCTCACGCCTGGATGTCCGGGACAGTAGCCAAACCCAAAACACCAACATCTCCCCTGAATCCTGTATGCTCCCTACTGCAGGTCCTACTGCACGGGCCGGATTTCATCTTCGTGAACGCCCAATGGGGACGAAGACATTAGTGGCCCAAGCGTGTCCCCTATCCTCCCAAAACACTTGCTTGCACTTGGGAAACGCTTCAGCCTAGATAATTGTCACGTTCTGGAGACGGAAGATGTAAAGCACAATCAAATTAAAGGATGATGTTGGCTATCCCTTGTCAATGTTGGCCAAGGCTGTACGATGACTGGACAGCGAAGGGGTCTTGCTCATCGAGCTACGGTACCACGTAGATATCATGAGCTGGGGATGCGGCGTACGTGCTGCTTCAAATGGTTATATAACTGGCGCTTCGAGTATCTTGTCTTGATCTTGTCTATTCCATCAAATCCGTGATATAGGCGATAGGGTTCTGTTTCCCTACTTTTATATAGCTACTACTGCCACCTGCACAAGACACTCTTTGCCAGAAGAAAGCCGGCACAATGCGTCTATCCTCGAAGCACATCATTTGGCTCGCCATTGCCTTAGGGCTAGCCTTCCATGCTGCCGCAAGAGCACGTACGCATGGACCTACCCTCCCATCAGGCCCAACTAACGACTACAGTTCCCCATGCATTGTACGAGCCGGAAGCCAAACCAGGAATCAGAAACGAGCTTACTCTCGTCGAAAGGGGCAGGCTCCCCTTCAAAGCCCCCGGCAAGGGGGCAAGCACCGGCGGCACCGGAGCCGCCCCAAACACCCTCGGTACCCTTGAGCCGCCAAAGGCCATTGCCCCAAGCCCTCCCAAGTCCAACCCCAAGGGTGACCAGGGCACCACCAAAGACGAGGGCAACGACAAAGACAAGGACAAGGACCATGGGCAGACGAAGAGCTGCAAGCGCGCCGACGACGGCAACGGCAACGGCAACTGCGCGCCCACAGCGCAGACCGCAAACCCGCCGCCGCCCCCGGACTCCGCCCGCGGACTCAGGAGCACGGGGCTCGCGCCGCCCTTGCGCTACACGTTCGCGAACATGGCGCCCTGGGGCAAAGACAGGCAGACGCGTTCGGGGCTCGCGGACTGGCGGCCGGAGAATGCGCTGCGGAACGAGAACGAGGGGGCGGAGAGGGCGCTGAGCAAGAGGTTCAATAGATCGCTGGGCGACTTCGCCAAGAGGGTCTATGAGGGCCTGAAGAGCGACGGTGCGGACCCTGCCTGGGCAACCAGAGGGTATAACCTCGTGGCGGCGCTGTATATCCCCGGCCGCGGCGTGAGGGTCTCGACGATCCCCCGCGGCGATGCGGCGAAGCTGCTGCTTGATAACTTCCAGGACCGGGCGCCGGGGCTGTACCGCGTTACGCGTGGTGGTCGGACGGCCAATTACCCTAACAACCCGCATGCCGAGGATGGGGTGGTCTATCAGGAGGAGGCCCAACGGTTCCGGGAGAATGATGGGGTTCTTTCGGGTGCGGACGATACGTTCCCTGAGGGTTCGAGGGTTGCGGTGTATGGGTCGTGGAGGTTCGAGGAGGTTGGCCAGGAGGCATTGATACGGCCGTGTCAGGGTAAGGAAAAGGCCCGCGTTGTTGGGTGTGAAAGGGCCCTCAAGGAGCTGGGTATTGATATTGTTCTCGACAACTACGAACTACTCTAGATTGCTGGCGGCGCCTGGTCCTTGTCCAGCGTCCACGGCTACCCGACTACATGTCCCGGTTTCCAAAGGTAGGTTGTCGTTGGGTCTGCCGCCCGTTATACACGTGCTGCGACCTTGCTTTCTAGCTAAGTTCGTGCTTTTCTTGCTGTTGTTTGGTATACTATATACATTTGCCTTGTTCAGCCTTACCTGTCTGCTTCAGTCTTTCCGCCTCTTGGTATACCTGCTTGTTGAACCATCCATCTGTCCATGCCCGAGTTCATCCCTTGTTGAATAAGTCGTGACCTGAGACTTATGACTTAATGTAAACCATGGGATTCTTTTGTCTGAGTTACAGGAATAGACAGCGTCTATATTCCATGGAATCACCACCCACAAGCCATATCACAGATCTTTATATCCCCATCGCTATATGTCGGAGCGGAGGTCTGGCAGGCCGGAGAAGCCGCCAGAAGCCTCTAGCCCAGATTGGCTTTGTTCCCCGCGCTTATTTTAAAGAGGCTAGTGTTATTATATATTACTTTTTTTATTAAAAATTTTATATATAGATTATTTTTTAGCTAGATTTACTTATTATTTTATAATATTATTATTTATTTTATAATATTTTTATTTTATTTTTATAAGTAGCTTTTTTAGCCTTTTTAATAGGTTATAAGCCCCTAATTTTTTTAATATTTTATTTATAAATACTACTTATTATTATTTATTTTATATTTAAAAATTTATATATAATTAATTAAGATAGCAGCGCTGGAAGCCCTAGAATTTAATTAATTAATTTTAATTAATATTTATAAATATTTTTACTTTTAATATATTAAAAGGCTTTATAATACTTAATATAACTCCCACGCCTGTTATAAAAATAATATTTACTTTTATTATTATAATAAATTAAGTAATAAACCTATTAAAAAAAGCCTTTATATTTAACACGGTAAATAAAAAATAAAAAAATAAAAAAAACTATAATACATGGACCTGGTTAGTAGGCCTAAAATTAAACCTATATAATTTTAAGGTACTTATTAAAAAGGATATCCCGCGCCTAATATTAATATTAATATTATATTAAAAATAAATAATTATATTAAAAAAGGTTTAAATATAGCTCGCGAAGAGTTTAATAAATAATATTATATAAATAATACATGCGGATTTAAAAAAGGCGTTATATATAAATAAGTTTTATATTAAAATTAACTAGGTTTTTAATAAAAATAAATATATAATAGCTTATATAGTTTAAAAGGAAGCTATTATTATTAACTAAGCTAGTTATAGTATAGTCTAGAAGTTTATTAAAATATTTTATAAAAAGTATAAATTTAGTAATAAATTTAATATAATTATTACTTTATATTAATAGTTCTTTTTACTCTTAAAGAAATTGCGGGTAAAAATGCCTTTATATTATAAAGTAAAGTATATTTTAATACCCGCGAGCGCTATTAAAAAGATAACTATAGTATAATTTTAAAAGGTTTATTATAAAGTTTTAAATAAAGTAAAGGTTAAAACCTTTGTTTAAGTGGTAATACTAAAAAATAATAATAATAATAGTAATAAGAATAGGAGTAGGGACAAGAATAATAGTTCTAAATTTAAAAATAAAGATTAAAACATACCTTGTTAAGGCGCTCTAGAGAAAGGGGTGTTTAATAAGTAGTGGTAAAAAAAAAAAATAGCTTTAAAAAAAAAATTGCTAAAAAATATATATAATTATTATAGTAAGGGACCTTATAATCCTTTAAAATATTATTATCTAGTACTAAAAAAATAATTATTAAGCTAGTAGTTATTAGGCAAGATTTAGTGCTATAAGTTTATTAAGCTAATAAATTTAAATAATACTAAAAATAATAATAATAGCAAGCCTAGCGCTGCTATAGTTCCTTAATAAACTTAGGGTAAATATAGTATAAACTTTAGTATATATAGTGCTATGCTTTTTATTATATTAATAATATTAAAGTTTTATAATTAATAGCTTGTAAATACTGGCTCTAGAATTCCTATATATAATAATAAAAACCTTATAAAAAATTTTTATATTATTTAGCTCCCGTAGCACGCTTTTACTATATTAAATAATAAAAAAGTAATCCCTAAAGGGAAAGGCAAAGTTAACTTATATATTTAATTAAATAATAACAAGGTTTTAACACTATAATTTAATTACTTATGGTTTTTTAAATTACCATGTAATATTTTACTAGTAAAAAAGATTAAGATAAACCTAGGCCTTTGGTATAATAGTAAATTATTAAGGATTTAATAAATTAAGAATAACAAGGTTATTTTTAAGGTTTATATTAATAAGGACATGCCTTAGTTAAGCAAACTAAATATTAATAAAAAAGCAAGCTTTAATATAGCTTTAGTTTTAATAAGAGTTTAATATAGGTATTTAGGCCATGTATTAGTATTATAACTAAATAAAAACCACGCGTAGTTAAATAATGTTAATAGTAAAAATAAATATTAAGATAATAAAATAATTATAAATTATAAAATATACAAGCTAGTAAAATTAAAAAAAAAGGTTTTTAAAACTTTTTAATAGCAAGTTATAAAGCCTTTATAAATAGTGCATATTAATATTTAATTAGTAAAGCCTTAGGGTATATAGGGATATAATTATGCTTTATTAATGCTTAATAATAACTTTAGGGATTATTTTTACTAGTTTTTATATTAAAAAAATAAGGCAGTAAACGCGCTTATTTACATGCATTTATAATAGCTTAATATAAGCAGAGTATATATTATAAAAATAAAAAGTAATAACACCAGGGATTTTAATAATTATAAGGCCTGGTATTATTAAAATTATACTAGTACTAAATTTAAAAAAACTTTAAGTTATATACTTAAAAAGAACAGTAAAATTAAGTAGTTTAGTGGGTATATTATATAAATTACTTATAGTATAATAATAAATATAAAGTTACTAAAAAAGCTATAGCCGCTAGCGGTTAAATCCATATTATATATTTAAAATTAACTTATTTAAAAAGGTAAAATAAAACTACTAGTAAAAAAATTTATAAAAGGCCTGGGGATACTGGTGCTAAATAATACTTTATTAAAGTATTTATAAATTTTTAAATATAATGCCTACGTCCACATCCCTATAAAAATAAAAATAAAAGCTTTAAAAATAATGCCTAAAGCGGAGAAAGAAAAACTTATAAAATATAAGGGATTTTATATTTATAAAGTATATTTTTTAAAGTTTAAAAAGATTATTAAATTAAAAAATATTATATTTAAAAAAAAAAAAATAATAATAAAGTGCCTTTACTTACTTTACTATATTTATTAACTAATTTTAATAATAAAGGCCCTGGTGGTTTAGTTAGTTTTAATAAGTAATTTAAAATATAAAATTTTAATAATAATAATTTGCAAGTAGCTAATAAAAGCAAAAAGATTATTATAACTAAAAGAATCTAAACCTTATTTTTAAATTTAGCGCTTCCTACCCTAAAATTTATAAAATCTACATTAATAAAAAAAGAAAAATTACCAAGCTATAAGGCTTAGCTAACGTACTAGTTAAGGCCACGTGCTTAGGTATTTAATTAATAAATACTAAAAAAAAAAGTGCCTTTAGCAGCTAAAGTAGTATTAAAAACTATAATTATATAAAAAAAACTTATATAAGTACTAGAGAAAGAAAATACTCCTAGTATAAATTATATATAATTATTTAAAGAATTAATAGTTAAAAAAATAGTTAAGAAAGTTAAAAAAGTAAAAAAAAATATAAAAAAAAAATAAAAAAAATGCAAGCAAGTAAATTACTAAGTTTATTTATTTTTAATAATATGCTAGTATTCTTGCCTTATAAAAAATAAAAGATATAGGTATAAAAAGTATTATAGTTAATTAAAATAAAAAAGGATAAAGTAGTTCCAGAGCAAGAAGTTCTAGAAAACTTACTATTTTTAAAAATTAATAATAAAACACGTATGGCCGTGGCTTAACACTTTAAGGCTAAGATATAGTATTATAAGAGTAAAAAGAAAGAAAAAAAAAATATTTTTAATTTATAATAAAAGATTTAGGGCTAATTTTGCCTAGCAAAAAAGTTAATAAAAAATAATTTAAATTAATATACTTTATAAATAAGCAAGCAAAGTAATTAAAGTAAGAATAAAAATATTATAATGCTAAAAAAAAGTTAAAATTACTTAATTTATTAGCCTTACCTACACTGCCAATTCCGGATGGTGTTTATCCTTTTAAAACCTATAAGATATTAATTCTAAATAACTACAAGAAGGCAATAAGATCTCCCTAAAAAAAGTATTAAATTAAAATAATAAATAAGTAAAATACCAAGTTAAAGGACATCCCTGCATAAAAATTAGTTTCTTAATTTTTAGCTATTTAAAAAAAAAAAAAATTATACTAGGAAAATAGGTTTTTAACACTAAAAAAAATAAAAAAAATAATATTAAAAAGTTTCACGCCCGCTGGGTTATATATAATAACTTTTAAATTAAAAATAATAGCCTAAAAATATACACTTTAGTTATTATTAACACGCTGGTAAAGATTTATTTTATGGTTATTTATAAAAGGGGTTACTACTATATTTAATTTAATATAATAACTGCCTATTTTAACTTTATAATAAAGTAAGAAAAGGTTTTTATAAAGCAACCTATAAATTTAAAAAAAAAAAAAAATCTTATTTGCCTACTCCTCCGCGCCTTATATAAATTAAAAAAAGCGGTATACCTTTAAAATAGAATATTTACAAATATATTAAAAAGTATAAGCCTTTAAAGTATTAAAAAAAATTTATATTTTTTTTATTACGCCTACAAGGGTAATATTATAATTATTTATATAAATAACGCCTTGGTGGTAGTGTTTATAAAAAAAATTTATAAAAAGTTTTTAAAAAAGTTAACTAAGTACTTTAAGCTTAAAATTCTTAAAAAATTAAAATAGTTCCTGGAATATAATATTAATTTTATAAAAAAAGGAATACTTATTTTTTAAAAAACCTATATTTAAAAGATTCTAAATTAATTAAACTTTAATAAATTAAACAGGCAGAGGATTTTAATAAATTTAAAATAAAAATACTTAATAAAGGTGGCTGTTGCTGCATTTAAACCGCCATAAAAAAAA